GTATGGGAAGAGAGGGTTTGTATGTTATAGAAGATGACATGACAAGGACTTTGGAGTTCTCATTGTGATATGAGATATGAGCAAATTATATCAATGATCTTATCCTTACTATACTTTTGTATAAAAGAGATACTAATAATAAGTCCCTTGAATATTTGTTAAAATAATATATACAAAACCATAATACAACGCCTAGAATATGACAGATAATGAACAAGTGGTAGCATTCATAGGCTTTGATATTCAGGACAAAAATATGGGACTTGTTCCCATTTAAATAGTAGTTGAAGCCATTGAGGGTCAATAAGATTGCTTAGGAGGACTTTGCAAATTAAGAAGAAAGAAAATAACACAATTTAAAGAAAAGAGCAGAAGAACAGACCATGACCGAACAGATGGAGAAGAATGGTCGGAGATTTAAAAGGGGAACTGGGAGATGGTGATGTTATCAAAATTAGAACAGGGAGACTTTTAAGAAAAGAGGATACATAAAATGTATACAGAGGGTAAGCTATGATCTCTCTGCAATGGGATGCAGTGGAAAAATAAATGTAAAGAATCTTTTCAAGCAGTTTGTATGTTAAAAGAAAGAATATGACATTTAGAAAATGATTTGATCCTCCTCACTTTTGGAGGAGTCTAAAAAATATTTAAATTATGGAGGACCAACTGAAGTAACGCAATGCGCTGCCATCAAGTCAGATCCAACTCACAGTGACCCCTCCTTGGGTTTCCGAGGTGGTATCACTACGAAAGTAGATTGCCCAACCTTCCTGTTGAGGAGTGGCTGGTAGATTTGAACCACCAGCCTTCTGGTTAGCAGTCAAATGCCTTAGGCACTATGCTACCAATATGAACCATAAATTTAAGGTGGAGCCAAACAGAAAAACTGTGGTATCAGGTGAGAACTTAAGGGATTGAATTGATTCCAGGTCATAAGTTTGTATATCAGAGGCAGCATAGGAATGATCTACTTTTTCTCCTTGTCTTCTAACTTCCAGCCCATTTGACACTGCTGCTGAATTATTTATCCCCCAAATACATTGATATTTATGTTTTCAAAAAATGTCAATGATTACCTAATTTTATAGCCTACCAGTCAAATCTCCATCATCTGGCAATAATTGACATTTGTTGCTGTTTCTCACCACTCCCCTTCATGTATCTTGTACAATAATCAGGTTGGATTACCTTTTATTCCCCAAGCACTCCTTACCCTTAAGTCAACATGTATTGCTTCTCATTCTTCAAAGCCCATCAAGAAACCTACTTCCACTGTGACATCTTATAAAACAGCCAAAGTCAAACAGAGGAGAGTTTCTTTCTCCTCATAATACTTGTTAGTATTACTCATGAAATTTTTATAACCTTCTTATAAAATAAACTCTATGTGTTTCTTTTTCTCCTTATAAGAGAGACATCATACATTATTCACTTTTTTATAACCCCCAGTTCCCAAAAATGTGTCTTGCACATACTGTATATTTAATAACTATTGTTAACTGCTCAGAAAATTTGAAGACTTAAAGGCCCATAATAACATGATTTCATACTCAACCAACAATCAAAAATGTAATCTAAGACTAGCTGTGTGTATTGAAATGACACATCATACTTCTTACATTTTCAATGTCAGAAATTAAAGGCGATGATAAAAGCAATATATATATATATTTTTTTTTTTGATAAAGGGATAAAACAACTTAGGGAATTGCTGCTCAAGCCTGATTCAATAATTAATTTTGTAGAAAGAAATTTAGAGTACATTGCCAAGGTCATAAAGTTATATGTTCTTTACTGAAATTTTATAAGAAAAAGTCACCTTGTAAGGAAATAAATTCATGTCAAACATTTGTTGAAAAGCCATATTCTTAGGAAATTAATACATGTAAAGCAATCTCCTATATATGTTAAACAATCATGATTGATCCACTTCCAACTAATACTTATGAGTGCCTATTGGTATGAGATACTTTCATACTTTATATTTTACTTAAAATTCAGAACAACATTGTAAGATACCTATTTTAATATCCCCATTTCACAAGTTAAGAAATATTATCAGAGAGATCTTTGACTTCCCAGTACTACTCAGTTAGTATCTAGTAGAGCCAAGGATCGTCAAATCCACTGATCTTGCCAATAATAATCTCCCTGAGACAGGAACATTTTGGTCATCAAAGTAAGATTCATTGTGGTTTATTTCATTTACTCCAGCAGAAAGATGTACTGATGACATGTGGAAACATTAACAACAGAATTTGAAGCAAAAGAGCTGGATGTTTAAGAAACTTAATTTTCAGCTATCAAGAAAATTCAGTCAGTCACTGCACCTTCCCAAAACATTCTATTTAATCGATGTTTTAAAGTATGTACAAGATTGCAACCTAAGGTAACACAGTATTATCCATTATAGGATCTGTTGTTGTTAGGTACCATGGAGTCTACTCCAACTCCTAGCAACCCCATTTGACAGACTGGAACAGCTCCACGGGGTTTTTTAGGCTGTAGATGGCACATAACAACAACGACAACAATAATCTTTACAGGAGTAGATCACCAGATGGTTCTCCAGAACCACTTGGTGGGTGCAAACCTCCCTTTCTGTTATAGCTGTGTATTTAACTGTTATGTCACCCAGGCCCTTTATTATAAAGCCTAGAATTATTTTAATAGTAAGAATGGTTTTGTCATGATTATCAGCCTTGCTTACGTGTAAATTACACTTGTAAAGCATTTAAGGTCATTTTAAAGAAGGTGTTGAAGTAATTTAAACAACCTCTGACCCTCCAATTTTTGTAATTAATATTGTTTTCACAGCCACTCTGAAAAGGGTTTGCTAAACAAAGTAGACTTTCACCCCTCCCTGTGTCTAACTAATCATAAATTGCAATTAATTTCTGTACTTGTTATAATTGTTGAACATTCTACCTAATACATTTACATCTGGCATGTATTTTACTTAATTGCATTTCAAACACTATCTCTATCTTGAAGAGAATTTAAAGAAACTTGATAATCACCAAATAATATTTTTAACATTTCATATATCATTACCCTATATTATGCTGAAGGAGCTCTGGTGTTGCAGTGCCTAATGCATTTGACTGTTGACCAGAAGGATGGTGGTTCAAACCTACCAGCCACTCCACAGAAGGAAGACTGGGCTTTCGTAAAGATTTACCGCCTCAAAACACAAAGGGGGTTGCTATGAGTGGGAATCGAATCGATGGCAGTGAGTTTGGTTTGATTTTTATACTGTGTTGAGTGTGGATTTCATTAAATTCACTCTCACTCACTCACTACCATCGAGTTGAATCCGACTCCTAGTGACCCCTCGTGGGTTTCCGAGACAATATCACTATGGAAGTAGATTGCCCAGTCTTCCTTCTGAGCAGTGGCTGGTGGGTTTGAACCACCAGCCTTCTGGTTAGCAGTCAAATGCTTTAGGCACAATACCACCAAAGCTGCTTTTCATTAAATTAGGAAGCACATAATTGTTTTTCCTTGATTATCTTTTCCAAAAAAAAAAAAAAAAAATCTACATGTTAATTATGTCTTCAAAAACGGTATTATCATGTATTGATCCAAATTCTGATAACTCATAACAGTGCACAATGCTTGTATTCATATGAATATCTCTGAAACTAGATTTTTACTGCCGTCTCTTGAGAAACACAGATTTCCTTTTTTTGCACCTCCTCTTAGTTATTTGTAAACCTAAGTGGCTAAATCTTTTTGAGAGTAGTTGTTGTTGTGAGCCAGTGCTCCATGGGTCTCTTGTGTTTCCATACATTTTTTTAACCAAAGTACAAACAATATCTCATCAGTACTACCTTTTCAAGGATGTGTGTACAGCCAACAGCCTTGGGAGAGATAGTGTCCCCTTCTGGAGCAAAGGGCATGCTTTTTACTCTCAACTATATAGTAAATATAATGACCCCCTCCAGGGCAAAAATCAGATAGGCTTACTGCCCAGAATATAAAATTTGGGCTCCTTAAGCTTGAGACACCTCCCCTGTAACACAACCTGCTGAATGTTCAGGTGTCACCTGGCTCTCCTCGTGTCACTCTTTGGAACTTGTGATGTGAACTGTATTTATGTCTGATCCAGGAACCTGTCTTCTATCAGCATCCACGAAACTAACTTGTTAACTTGCAAGTATGGTAAAGTCCTTCATGATTTGTGATGATGGTAACTACTTGAACATAGATAAGGAATCTAGCTATTCATGCCTGAAAAGCCAAAATTATGCTCAGGATTTCTCTCTTCAAACTATCTGGATTGGCCAGTCTAGCATTCTTCTCTCATTCCCCAAAAAATGTGCCATCTTTCTACTCCAAAACTCAGGTGAGACACTTGACCTTTTCTCATTTTATTCGTGATTCTTTCCTCTGTCGTCTAGTAACAGAATTGAGTCAGGGTCTCCTCCTACTAGTCCTTCTTTAGAAAAAGATCTTAGGCACACATTTTCTTCTGTAGAGTGAAAAAAAAAAAAACACGTCCCCAAATTTACCTATTGCTTCTCTAAATCACTAACATTCAATCCATGGACAATTTGATAATTTCTATGATTCTGATCTAATTATATAACCAATCCTATGTCTGAAGTGATCTAGGATATTTCTATATATGTTGTATATTCCTATATATTCAGCAGGTTGTTCTAAACTGGCAGACTGGTTTTCTTTCTAATTTTATCAAATGCTATTTTTACTTTCTAGTGCTACCACCTCAGAAACCCAAGGAGGGGTCACTATGAGTCAGGTCTGACTTGATGGCACATAACAGCAATGACAACATTTTTACTTTCTAGCTAAATTATCTCCATATTGATTGCAAATATATTTAGCATAATTAAATGTTTTAATTCTTAAAAGACTAATTTTTCATATGTATTTTCTACAGAAACCATACAAAGTATAAGTAGCTATTGACATTTACTTCTATTGCATTAAGTCCTACCTACAGTAGGAGTGGGAGGCAGATATCATCTCACCTTAAAAATATATTTCACATGAGCAATATCACACTGGATATTTAATTTTCCAAGTAACTTCACAGTTTTTTCTAAGTTAATTTTTCCACCTCTAAACTCATCCTGAATTTTCGATAAAAACCATGTATGAAACACAAAAAAGAAGTTAAGGAAATTTTCATAGAAAGTGATTAGGTATTTAAAATACCTAAAATAATGTTTGACTTCTACTTAATTAATTTTAGGAGCTCTGGTGGTATAACACCTAAGGCTTTGACCATTAACCAGAAGGTTGGTTGGTGAAACCTGCCAGCACCTCTGTGAAAGGAAGATGGGCAATCTACTTCTGTAAAGATTTATAGCCTCAGAAACCCAATGTGGGTTGCTATGAGTCAGAATTGTCTCAATGACAATGAGTTTTTTTTTTTCTTTTTCTTTTTTAGTTTATCTGATATATTTATTTTTATTTTTAAATTATTTCTATTTTTTGCACAGATTAAATTACAATATAATTTGATGATATTTAATAAACATACATAAAATTAAGTTCTTATCATTCTGTAATAAATTTTTAAAAATGAGAAAGTTATTACTTGGGAAATATATGAAAACATTATTACAATCTACTCCCTGAAGACATGGATTTGGGGACAGCAGAACTTCAGAATCTCCCTGTCACTTGACCTCTGTCAGCCTCAATTCTCTCAACTGAAAGTATATTAATATTAAATCTTAGAGAAGGGGGGCAATAAATGGGTCTTAAGTATGTCATTGAATCATTTCTACTCCTGAATATTCAAAAAATAGCAACTATTCTGGATAGAATTATCATTACCATAATATAAATTGTTACTACATTTATATTATTACAATTGTAATTATTATTACATTGACAGATGTACCCTTACAGCTATATAAAATCAAAATAATAATAATAATAATAATACCTCAATCTTTTAAGTACCACCAAAATGAGTTAACAATACTATGATAAGTTTACATTTGGTGTGACAGAAAAAAAATAATAAAAGTTACTTATTATTTAAGTTAAACTACAAAAAATAAGACACTTCAATTTAAAAGGCTATGATGGAGATGAAATAATGTGATAATCTGTAAAATCATGTTGTTGTTGTTGTTATTTGCCGTCGAGTCTGATCTGACTCATAGCGACCCCTCCTTGGGTTTCCGAGGCAGTATCACTATGGAAGTAGATTGCCCCATCTTCCTTCCGATGAGTGGCTGGTGGGTTTGAACCGCCAGCCTTCTGGTTAGCAGTCAAGTGCCTTAGGCACTATGCTACCAGAGCTCCTTGTAAAATCATAAAAAATATAAATAAAAGTTGTTCAAAATCTACCCAATTTTAGATTGTTGGAACCAATGAGAAGCCCTTAAATTTAATGGCTATGACTTAACATGGCAAAGCTTATGTTTCTCTAAGAATAAGATACAGGAAGCTAGGGAAACTCAGAAAAGCTCAGGACAGATATGGAAGGAAGTAGTTTATACTTAAATGAGAGGGAGAGGGACTGAAATTCAGAACTCTCCAGAAAGAATGAGAAGAAAATTGAGTGAAGAGGGGAAATCAAGAGAACGGAGAGGATAGGGGCTCAGAAAGGACTTCTGAGTGGATATTTGTTCTCCATATTTTCGTGACCTGCTGTGCTGCTTCTCCTCCTCAATTTGAAGTCTCTCCCCATTAGATATTGTCAGAGGCTCCAGATGGAATTAACTCTGCCCCCTTGCAGGAAAGGAATTTCTTGATATTCATTGGTTGTTGCCACTGGCACTTCTTTCCTAGGATGAAAGTAGAGAACACACAGTGGTTTGTTGCCTTTGTTCTTTAGACATGGCTTACCCTGCAGTCCCATCAAACTAGGTACAAAAGATGTGGACCCTCAATGTCCTGCCCTGCACACTTTATGGCTCCTTGCTTATGTTTTGACTATCTCCAGATACAATATGTTTGTAGTTCCAGCATCTCCTACCATCTGACATTTTTTCCCCGTGAATTGCCTTTGTAGCTCATTTTATTTTTAATCTTCTGTTTAAACCCCTCAAACCTTTCATCACAATGTCCTTCCAGTGGGTTCATGGCAGCTATTCTGAGGATCTGAGTACAAATCAACTCCATCACGGTCCCTGAAGGTGCAAAGTGCTGTCACATTCTCTCTAGGAACTCTGGGCTGCTTTTCTCAATACCTGACAAGATATAACACACTGAGGCACACCACTTTTGAAGAAGCCTGTTCAGAAAGCTTAGCTTTTAAATCTTCAAAACTTGTTTAGCTGGCTGCCTGGGCACCATGCTGTCAGGTGACTGTCTTTTTTTTTTTTTTTTTTTTTTCAGTTTGACACCCATTGTGACATCATCAGAGCAAGCTTCTTTATGATGTAATCAGGAAACTCAAAGCCTACTAGACTACCTGGGCTGATGATTGAACCTAATAATCTTAAGCTTGAATGTTTAACACCTTAATGGGAAAGGTGTCTCATGGGATGTTTTCTCATTCCTTTGAACACTTTTCATCTCAGAAGCTCTGCTTCTGCTGCAACCAAACATGTCACTTAGCATTCTGAGTAGGAAAGAGAAAGAAAGAGTAATTCGCAGACTGCTAATACAGGCTCCTCCAGGGGAATTTGTAAATGCCTTTGATGATCTCTGTCTGCTTATTCGTGATGAAAAACTTATGCACCATCAAGGTGAGTGTGCAGGCCACCAACATTGCCAAAAATATACTGTACCACTTTGTATTGACGGCAATCCCGTCCTCTTGTCTCACCACAATGTAGTGGGTGACTACCGATTTTTTGACTATCAAAGCAAACTTTCTTTCAAATTTGACCTGCTTCAAAATCAGCTAAAAGACATCCAAAGCCATGGTATCATTCGGAATGAGGCAGAATACCTGAGAACTGTCGTTCTGTGTGCCTTGAAACTATATGTGAATGATCACTTTCCAAATGGAAATTGCAATGTGCTGAGAAAAACTGTGAAAAGTAAGGAGTTCTTGATAGCATGCATTGAAGACCACAACTATCAATCAGGAGATTGCTGGAATGGCCTTTGGAAGTCTAAATGGATTTTCCAAGTAAATCCATTTCTGACCCAAGTAACAGGAAGAATTTTTGTGCAAGCTCACTACTTCAGATGTGTCAACCTTCATGTTAAAATCTCTAAGGACCTAAAAGAAAGCTTGGAAATAGTTAACCAAGCTCAACTGGCTCTAAATTTTGCTAGACTTGTGGAAGAACAAGAGAATAAATTTCAAGCTGCAGTCTTAGAAGAATTACAGGAGTTATCTAATGAAGCCCTGAGGAAAATTCTACGAAGAGATCTTCCAGTGACCCGCACTCTTATCGACTGGCAGAGGATACTCTCTGACTTGAATCTGGTGATGTATCCTAAATTAGGATATGTCATTTATTCAAGAAGTGTGTTATGCAACTGGATAATATAAAGAATTGCTCCTGGTAATTGTCTGGACCTAGCTTTGTTGTGTTTCTAGGAAATGGCTATTTACTTTCTTAAAGTTGAGAAGTCTCAAGTGATATCTATGACTCAGTAAATGCAAATTTAATAGGGAAAACGTAATGTAATTTTACTTAGGGAATATTTACCCATAAGACAGAGTGGAGCAAATGTGTTCCATGATAGTGACCGTGATAAATGCAGAGATATTTATTAGAATTTACGGGAACTTTAAAAATATATATATGGCACCCTACAAATTTAATAGGAGCTCTGATGGCATAGTGCCTAAGGCACTTGACTGCTAACCAGAAGGCGGTCAGTTCAAACCCACCAGCCACTCCTCAGAAGGAAGGCTGGGCAATCTACTTCCATAGTGATAACACCTCCTCAGAAACCCAAGAAGGGGTGGCTATGAGTCGGGGCCAACTCGACGGCACATAACAACAACAACAATACAGAAATATCATAGCTGTGGCCAGTTAAGGTTAGATGTCTTTTTATTATATCTCTAAGTGTTGATTTTTTAATGATTCTAGAATAAGATTCAATGGTTTATGGGACAATTACAGAAACATTTGACTCCCAATCGAACAAAGTTTTTAAGATAATATTTATTGATATTCCTGAATATTGAAGTTGAATATACAAATTGTACACAATGGATAAAGCATATAGCATGTTGTCTTATTTCTTTCCATTCCATTTGTAGAATTGTTTTAAATATTCAGAGCATGCAGCCTATAAAATTTATATATTGATCTTTTTACATAATATCATATATCATAAACATTTCCCATGTGACTTAGGCTGAGTTCTCTGGAGGAGCAAAAACAATGAAGCATACATATATAAATATATATAGAGAGAGATTTATTTCAAAGAAATGGCTCACACAGTTATGCAAGCTGGCAAGTCTCAAATGGATGTGGGTCAGTCATCAGGCTGCAGGCTCCTTCTGACTCATGTGGTTGCAGGGGTTGATAAACCCAAAATTGGCAGACTTAACAGCAGGCAGCTGGCTCATGGGGCTGCAGGAGCTGATGAATCCCAAAATCTCCATGTCAGATGGCAGGTTGCTGGCTCGTGTCTCAAGAACCAGATGTCAGAGAATGATGAGTTAGATGAAGGATTGAGGAATGATAACCTTTGTCAGAACACTCATATCTATTGGATCCAAACCATACCCCCAATGAAATTCCCTTTTCAACAAATTGTCTGTTCACATCAGATCCCAAAGTGGAGGATAATTGCATAAATCTGCCAAACCACTGAGAATCATGGCATAGCCGAGCTGACACATAACTTTCACCATCACAGTCTATCTCTTGTCAACTTCATACACATCTTAAACCATGCATAACTAAAAACAATTTTAAAGTCATACTTGTACCTAATATGATACAATTAATATGCATACAATGAAAAACATACCCTATTTACATCTTATATTTTCTAATAAGTAATGGAATCAAGGAGGATAGAAAACAAAGATAGTTCGTATAAACACACACATACAGAGAGAGGCATAACAAAACAGGAAGAAATACTGAAAATAACAACAATCCTTGTTACTGAAACTGGTCACTTGGTTGTAGCTGGTATTTAGGACTACCTTTTTAGACTAAAGATTCTGTATTCTCTTTGAACCTCAGCAAGCACCTCA